GCTTCCTCTACAACATAATATGCATGAAAAAAATGCCCTTACTTCTCAAACTTTTCTTTTTTCAAATAAAATTTATTTAGTACCCAAGTGTTTACACTTACTGCTCTGTAAAAAAAATTTTAGTCAACTGAAAAAGTTTCTCATAACTTTCCTTCTGTGTAGTCTCACTTAGTTTACTTTGGAGGTAAGGAGCCCAGGAAAAATTTTTTGGAGTTCCTAAAAAGGCAAAAAAAAATGATCTGAGAGAAATATAATTAAATAAAAGCCTGTAATATCTAATATTCTCTAACGGTACGTTGAAAGTCTTGAAAATAAAGAGCAATTCGATTATTAAGATTAAAATGTATATGTATGTTTACTAATTGGTCCACCATTATTATTATTATTTTTTTTTTTTTTTTTATTATTATTATTAGAAAGGCAAACTTGATAAAAATTAACTTTTCTGTTTCTGAAGGCTAACCCACCGGATACTTGGAAGTAAACGACTTAGTATAGCTAAAATTGTTCGAGACATCAGCTGAAATAATGGCTGTGTGCATTTGACAATTACACATAAAAATATTTTAATCAATGAGGCTTCATTAACTGGAATGCAAAAGGACGATAATTAACGTTTCTTAAGATAAGGAGTGATAGTAATAGTGTAATTGCTTTCGTGCTGTAGAACAGCTTGTTTAATCTTTTAATGGTATATTAGACCAGACTGCGAAGATTTTCGGGTGCAGTTATCTGGTATGAGCAAGGTTTCAAGTGATAACTGTATTTTTTTTTTACCCTGAACAAGAATATCACTGTACGGAAATCGTTAGCTGTGATCTAGTCATCGATGTAATCATCTTAGATTTTCATTGTTCCCGCGGAACCGTAAATTAATAATAATAATAATAATTGGTCAAACAAAAGAACTTTAAGACTATATACAGAGCGCGCTATTGCTTCATTCAAACGCAACGGTTGAGTTTTAATCAAACGATACATTCTTTTTCATTTGCCGCTTGTATCGTTCGCTCGCCTGTTTTGCCGCCTTAAAGAGAAAGCATTAGGGTCATTGAGAAAAATTATGTTCCCTATGTACTCATTTGGCCTCCTCTATGGGCTCACACGGACGCACAGGTTGAAAAACATCGCATCCCGTTATGCGTGCATGTGTATGGGAGACAAATCGCCTTTGATTTCATTCGAGCTTTTTTAAAGGATTGGGTATAATCGTTCGGAAATATTCAGCCTCGAAGTATCCGGAAAGTCAAACGTTCCTTTTACTTGTGCCGAAAGGCGCGGCGCTTTCGGCAGGGCTGTGGTTATTTTAAAATTGAACAAAATTCCGTTTTCAACTGTGAACATTTTTTTTTTTTTTTTTTGAAGGAGAGCAACGATCTTTTTATCAAGTCTCCTTTTTTTCCACAAAATTGAAAATTTATTTAACCACACGGATATTTCAATCGTAACTTGTTTAACGTAGAGTTTTTGGTACATGACTGTAAAACCATTTTATACTTTTCGACTCAAGTCGTTATAAATATTAATTAGTTATGACGAATCTTAAGTCTCGAGCGCTCGAGCAGGGCATTTTTGAAAATCTAAAAAAAAAAATTAAACGACAAAAATGACATTGGTCTAGTCTTTCCAGTTATAAATGAAAGAATCATTTTTTAACATTTTTCAGTTCTTTTGCAGTTATTTTAATGGTATTATGGAAGTTTATAGTCGTTAAACGCTCTGGGCGAGCGCATGGAATTTTCATCGCAATCTTGAAATTGTAATTAAATCTGGAGTTGGATAACTTTCGCTATTGTTTTTCACTCCAACATCGGTATATTTGCCAGTATTCACGTGATGGCCCGCCAAAGGTGGTGTCAAAATTTTCATTTCCACCGTATGTCTTACACTCTTTTGAAACCGATAAGCAATTTTTCTGAAAACACCACAAGTGTGTATGTATACTCACTTTCACGGAAAGAAATGCCACGACCAAGGCGGCAACGTCTGATAGCATGTGAAAGCTGTCCGCTATGAGAGCCATGGAATTCGTGACGTATCCTACTATTATCTCCACCAGAAAGAAAAACGCTGTCAACCATAACATGGTCAACAGCCGACACTTTTTTCCAGTGAATCGGCCCATTTTTTATACCTGAAAAACAAGCGATTTTCAAAATTAGTTTCCATCTGAATCAAACTTTTCTTTTTTTTTTTTTGTTACTCATTCAACTGATCTTTGGTACACGCATAATTTTATTGCCAGTAAAAAGCATAAGAAATCATATTCAGTACTGCAATCTACGCAGTTCAGTGGTAGATTTGTAGCATCGCCACGTGAGAGCTTCGACTCTTATTTCCATCGAGAATTTTCGAAATGCATGTCCACGCAATCCTCCAGTTTTGAACTATTCAGAATTGCACGAACTTCACTTTATCAACCATTTCGAGGAACAAGTTACTGTTGCAACTACCAAACAGTTTATGCGAGTAAACATTGATCACAATGTGTTTTCTGTATCCATTCAAAGTACATTTTATCACTTTCTTTCTTTGATGTATTGTTTGCAAAATAAAAAAAATTGAACCTTCGAAACAGAGCACTCGATCAAATAATTTTTCGAAAATTTTCAACAAGACTAGTGAAAAATAAAAATTTTTTAGAATCAACAGATATACTCGTCGGATTTTTCAAAAATCAAACAAACTGCCTGGTAAACCAAGTATTTGATAATTTTTTTTGGTGGTTACGAACAATTATAAAGAAACAATAAAGTATAACAGCACATATTGATGACAAAAGAACCTGAACTTCATAACTGTCATAACTGATAATAACTATACCGTTGGGAGTGAGATAAGGATATTTTAAAACTGAGTAATATAAGTAAAACCCAAGTATGAAATTGGCAACTTACGAAGGGGGAATTTACGGCAGTAAATGGATGGTCAACGTAAAGTAGCTCACTGAAGAAAAAATTTGGTGGAGTTTACATGCTCTGGTAAACAGTCATTACTATTATACGTAACTTTAGTAGCAGAAGGGTGTTTTTCTTAGGCTCATATCTACCTTCATACAAAATCGCAAGATTATTGTTAGGAAAAACATTATGCGGGGGTTGAAATTTTGCTTGTAAAATTTTTTATTTATTTATTCACCACTTAACAGTGAACACATAAAAGCCACTTGATTACATTTTTTTTAATTATAAAAATAAAAATAATATGTACAATTAAATAAAATAAACAAAAAAGAAAGAATAAAAAATGTGCAATTTAATAATTTTAAGTTAAAATAAGATCAGAAATATAGTAATAACCACTTAATTTAGCTGATCATCTTCTAATGGTATACTGTAGTCATTAAAAATTTTTATGATCAGTCACGGCCATTCATTTCTACCGATGTAATTTATAAAAATATATTTACATTGATAGATTTTGGTTGGATTTGAATATTACATTGATGATAAATTATTATCATTACTTTTTTAAAACTTTCATCATTTCAAACATGATAGTTTACGTACGAAGCTTACTAACAAACGAATCAGGTATAAATCTTACATTCCACGCATTATTTCCTAAAATTGTTTTCATCGTTATTTCAATACTATTAATCGTTAAAGAAAGTTTTTAATTGGGTCGCGCAGATAAGTCAGATGAGGCTTATCGGTCAACAAAACGACACTTCTGATGTATGTATACGTGCGCATGCGACATGTGTGCTACGTTTTTGCCCGATTTAGTATGGGTATATTATTATATACTACGTTTAAGGAGGTTCCGGCAAAAAAAAAAAAAAAAAAAAAAAAAAAAAAAAAAAAAAAAAAAAAAAAAAAAATGTTAGATAACGTTGAAACAAAGTTACGGTTTTTTTTAGAACATTTCGTGTGCATATGCTTTTTTTCCAGACGTACTTTCGAAAAAAACACTCGTTCACTCCCACAATTTAACAGAGGCTCTATAGTGGTATTTACTTGTACTGAATTTTATTAATTACAATCGAATTGAGCTCATACTTTATTAATCTTCATGATGAATTGCAACAAACGAGATAAAAGTCACTGAAGTACAATTGAATTGATATTCTACAAAGGTTCGATAGGATCTAGCAATTTTTGAGCCGACTTCGAAGCGGGCTGGTCGTTTTTTTTTCGTTTTCTTTTTTTTACGAACGGAAAAAGTCATGACTCAACAAGTGTGCAAGATAATTTTACCAAAATAAAACCAAAAATAATTCAATAACCTTTTTTTTTTTTTTTTATTATTATTATTAGAAAGGCAAACTTGATAAAAATTAACTTTTCTGTTTCTGAAGGCTAACCCACCGGATACTTGGAAGTAAACGACTTAGTATAGCTAAAATTGTTCGAGACATCAGCTGAAATAATGGCTGTGTGCATTTGACAATTACACATAAAAATATTTTAATCAATGAGGCTTCATTAACTGGAATGCAAAAGGACGATAATTAACGTTTCTTAAGATAAGGAGTGATAGTAATAGTGTAATTGCTTTCGTGCTGTAGAACAGCTTGTTTAATCTTTTAATGGTATATTAGACCAGACTGCGAAGATTTTCGGGTGCAGTTATCTGGTATGAGCAAGGTTTCAAGTGATAACTGTATTTTTTTTTTACCCTGAACAAGAATATCACTGTACGGAAATCGTTAGCTGTGATCTAGTCACTTTCACAAAAAATTAAAAAAATTAAAAAAAAAATTATTATTGATAACAACTACTAAGACGATAAACATTATTGTAGTCTTTAATTTGGACTTTATCATTTCTTAGTATTAGTTTTCATGAGATAATTTTTGTTGGGACATTTTAATTAATTTTAATCAGAAATTTTTTTTGCTACACATACTTTTACAATTGTTTGTTCCTTACTTTATTGTGTGGAAATTGGGGGTAGGTATAGGTTTTAATGTGTTTTTTTATCGGCAAATACCGTTTCAAGTTAAAAACATACGGTTTTTTCGATATTTAATTAATCAATTAGGATAAATTTACCTAGAAACCTGAAATTTTTGATTTCATAAAAATTTGAAGTAATTTATGATATGAAAACATTTAGAACTTCTGTCGACTCAGTTAGAAAAGTATACCAGAAAAATGGCTTAAAAATATTTTGCCAAATAATGAAGCAGAAAAACAGCGCGTCATGGAGTTTTGTGTGCCAATTATTTTTCTCGTCGTGCCAGCTATACGTTCGAGAATACTGTGAAGATCACAAATTTACGGATTTTTTAAAATTGGGAATGACGTCAGAGAGATAATTTTTCATTATTGAATAGAAAATATTACATCCATCATAAAATATACGAATGGAAAGTTCATGAAAAAAGTTTTTTTGTTTTACCTAGAAAAAGACATTGAATTATCTATGTATACACAGTTTCTATGGTTGATGGAAATGATCGGTAAAACTTTTTTTCCATCAGCTACCAAATAAGTTAAAAATATTTCACATTTTTTTTTTTTTTTTTGACAAAATTAAAAAATAATTAGCTTGGAATGTCATTAAAATCGTCTGTTCCGATCCGTCAAGTGTAAAAGATATATTTTTGTCCTTAGGCATCGGTTCTTGACGTAATTAAAAATACAAGTAATTAAATTTCAATTAGCGTCCAAAGAAATCCGTTTTTATATTAGTATTTTATTACCCACGATGAATTCGTTCATTGATGTACATTAAAAAAATACACAAATAAAATGTGTTAATTGCATGTTTAATTACAAGATGGAATAAAAATTTATGGTAAAACGTATCAGTGATCGATTCTTGTAGTGATTTCAAATAATAGCTTCTGCCCATGGATTTCGACCAAATTTATGTTTACTGCTGCTCTACTTTCTGTGTGTGTATGTGTGTGTGTGATAATGTACTTCTGTACTCAACTTCAAGTCCTCGATAATTTAATTGATTTACATTTATTATCGTGATAATAGGCCAAATATCTATTGTCAATTCAGCAGCTTATGATAAGAAACGGTTACGAGCTTCATAAGCTAAGATACCTCAGGTAATTGCATTGGTAAAATAAAACTTTTGCTGCAAATTAAAATATAACTACCATCTGAAACGATATCGTTTAAAGTGGCAATGCTGTGATCTGAATTTTAATGAAAGTATTCAAATTTGTGTAATTAACAACATTGTGCGTCAAGAATTTATTTCACCAAATATCTGTCCGAGAGTCGTCTTTAACTCAAGAGTAGGGCACACTCATAAGACTGTTTATCAAAAATAGTGTGACGGTTAAAAATACACTTATCTTATTGATTAGGCTCTAGATTGTACAATCTAGCATAATTTACTATATATATTAAAAACACGATGACAAACGGGTGAAAGAATGTATTGAGAGATAAATTGGATGATTAGAACTTTTACTGATTAAATTTACTTTTTTCTCTTTATGTGGCTCACCAAATATCTTTGAAGCTAACTTTGAATGATTATCTACAGACAAAAAGTTGTCGATATAGTTTCAAATTATCTACCAAGTTAATTAATCAAGATCAGGCATTTTTTCAAGATGCTTGCTACACTTGATATAAGACTCATGTTTATATGTATGTGCATGACGGTGTTTGTATATTCAACATACACATGTGAAATGAGATTTACACAACAATAAAAAATTTCTCGTTCACAATTATTTCTATTTTCATTCCAAATAAGATATGAACTCAAGAGACTTAAATTATTCAGCTGTCTGCTGCTGATATGTATAGATATATAAACATTTTTAAAGTTAAAATTAAAGTGGCAGATTTTTATGCTCACAGCTAATTTATGGTTGATGTGATAAAAATTACAATAAAAATTACTGTAATTATTTATATGAGTAAAAAACAACTAGCTAAAGGATTCCTTGTAATGTACAACCATTTTTCTGCTTCAGTTTGCATTTTATAGAAGAAGTTTATAAATAAATACTACTTATCCTTCAGCTTCAAAAACTTTTTAAAAATTAACCTTGTGAAAAAAACACTTTAATGGCATGCATTTTAACATAGTGATAATTAACTAGCTCGTTATTCATTTTAATTAAACGATATCAACTTGTCTACTACTAAACGATTATTAAAACTCCATAGTGGCCATCAAAAATAAGGATCTCCCCTATTTTACTTGATATTTGGAACCTATCAATTTTATCAATTTTTGTCAACAGAACAAAAATTAAGAAAAAGTACACATAAAGTAACAGAGGGTATGAAAAACTCTACACTGACATTCAGGCCGACTGAAATTGGCACTCAACGATGAGCTCCCTTTTCTTTTTTTGCAAGGAGAGAGCATGATGAACTCCATTTTAAAAAAAACACGGAGCTTTACTGAGGTTGGTATTTATTATTTATGTATTCATCTCCACCATACCATACTCTGTACTCTGTATCAATCAGATGTATGTATGTAGAAAGCGAAAGAGACAACATAGAGAAAGAATGAAAGAAACTCGGCAAGTATGTCTACCTTGACAGCTCCGAATGAGAAAAAAAGAAAAAAAAAAACTATGGCCCTGACCGTCGTTGTCGTCGAAGGGAAGGGCATAGCCATCCATCTATAACAAGTATACTAAATAAGCAAACTGTAAAAGAGCAGCCCATCCCGAATTAGATTTTTGACATGGGTATACTTGTATATTCTATCCCCTTCTTCCCCATGCATGAGTACTCGTCGTGCCCCAATGTGTGTGCACACGACACCCGTGAAATAAATCTATTGAACTCTGTACACTTTTTAACACTGAAAGTTTTTTTTTTTTTTTTTTTACAGTAAAAATAACACCAATAATGTGGTAAAGTAAAAAATGTCCCAGAATGTCACTTGAGCTAGAGACGAACATCTGATCTAAGCATTATTTACTTCTGCCCGTGATGTGTACATAACTTTACGCACTAGGACCTGGGGAGGACGTGGACGTTTCTTCCCACGCAGAGCTTCTTCGGGACTAGAACCGTGAAATATTATATGGATAAAAACTAATTATTTAATCAACCCTTGGACATGCAGCTGATCGATTTTACCCATGCAATACCAGAACTTTCATGTTACAGTTTCAATTTTACCATTTTAATGCTTAAAGAAACATAATTTGGGCAATGCAATGTAATAAAATTGTGATTAATGTCAGAAGAAGTCAGTATAACGTACAATTGCGAGTCAAGTAGGTAGTAGTAGTTATCAAAAATTGAAGAACTTGCCTGAATTCGGAGTCGAGGTTCAAGAGACGGAGGTTATGTGGCAAAATGTAAGCTACTCACTTAATACACATGTTTCTCCCTTATCAATAGAATGAACAAGATATGCAAGTAATTATCTGAAACTGGATTAGACAAAAACTTACGTGTGTTGATTGTCCGCAAGGTGTATGGACAGAGAGTTAAAGATAAGGCCGTGCTATTGGAGCACAAGTGTGATTCGATTATATTGGCGAAGACGTCGAAGAAAAAATCTGCGTCTTTTTCACACAGGGCACTTGTCACAAACACTTTTTTTCTCTTGAAAACTATAGGTAGGTGTATCTAATGTATATACTCGTGTACCGTGTGTACCAAACAGTGGGATTGCAGCAGCTGCTGCAACAGCTGCAGTAGCTGTTTTGCAAATGGTCCGCTTGTGCTCGTGACGATGATGCTGATGGCCGGCAGTCGAAGAGCCCACTAGCATGTTATTTTTCTTTTCGCTTTGTCTCTCCTTTTCTACTCTGCTACTCTATACCTACTCAGCAGGGAGTTCTACACGCGCGCACTCCTTTTTTTTTGTTTTGTGGCGACTGGCGATGATGATTATACTCTTATGAGTATTTGCTTCAGTATAGTATATACTTCTTATTCGCCACATGCACATGCACATTTGTTATTAATCAACTTACTCGCTTCTCCTCTGTTTAATCGAGTTATTTTTTCAGCGGCCGCGCACAAAAATAGAACGTGGAAAACAATTTTACCGTTTTTTCAAATGTAGACTACTACTCATACTCACACAGCAGGATTGACGAGATTGTATATATATATATGTATATATATATACTTACTGGCGGAATATCCGTTCGCGTGTGCAAATTACTGTGTTATAACTATACAGTTCGCAACTTTGAAAGACGGGAAATGATCAACATTACTTACGACGATTTTTTTAACACTATCTATACTTAGTAGGCAGTCAAGTGGTCAATTTTATATTCTTTAATGGCAGTCGTACTTACGGCGTAGCACTTGTGGGGCTTTATATCCTCACTCTTATCATCATTAATTCTCTTTAGCTTTATTCTTTTATCACATATATAGACATAACATCAATTTTATATCATCACATACTAATGGCAATACTATGTATCGACAGTAGATACTTACTTTTCCTCACACGATTGCACGCGGTTATATTCTTGCTCTCAAAGCGCTCGGAGAGCCGAGAACGCATGGTCAATCTTATGTTGAGACGGCTGCACCGCTTACACCGGCTTAACCAGCTACACGTTGATATTTAGATATATAAAATGATAAGATTTCGAAGTTGAGAAGCTTCAAACTATTTAGACTTCGAGCTAAGTTTGAAGAGTATCTGAGCATTTTCAATCTCCAATCAAATGATTGAATAGGCTTTAAAAAGCACAAGCAATAATTAGAAAATGATCAATTTAATCAAAAAGTTGATACATTATATTTAAAAATGAAGAATGTATCTAAAATTAACATTACAAAACAGTTTAATGTGTTTCAATTTTATTTTTTATTTTTTTTTATTCTCTTTTATACAATCGTTCATACGTACCACAGTAAAAGTTTAATGCACTTTTTAACGGTCTTTTTTCTTTCTTTACTATTATCTCCACCAGAAAGAAANAAACTTCTTTGAATAATTTTGATAGTTTTGAAGACAAAAGACAACTTCAAGCACTGTACAAAGGCATAATTAATCACTGCATAGCTTATACTCTTACACAAATATGTACACATGGTTTCTTAGGAACAAAAAAAATTGTGCAATGTTCAAAGTAATTCACACTAAAAAATGCAGGCTTAAAAAATTTCGTAGTTACGAATAGTTGTTAGTGGTACAAAAACACAACTATTTTAGCTGTTTACGATCTCATCAGTCTTTAAAACTATATTAGAAAAATTATACATATAAAAAAAAATAAAATAAAATTCCAGCTTATTTTGAAAAAAGTTTCACTTTCAACATCACATTATTTGTGATACATTTTTTATTTTTTTTGCACGTTAAGTATTTCCGACTTCACCCACTCACTGTACGTGTCGACAATCGCACTTGGATCGCATTTTTCCCAAATTTTCTTGAGAATTGACATCTTGTCAGCACTGTTATCCAAAACAACGTTCAACAAAGTTGTAGAAGATTTTAGTTCTTCTCTTGATTTCACATGTTCTACTATTGTTTCAACTGAAGTATTATCCAATATAACTTTGAGATCATCCGATTTGGGAGTTAGAATGCTAATGCCCTTCTTATTTTCTTCAACGAGGTTCTTTGACAGGAGGCTCATCAAGTCTTCCGTTTTGATCTAAAATATTTAAAATTATTTGTAAGATAGAAAATAAAACTTAATTAAAACAAATATCAAAACTTACGTTGTATCCCTGAAGAACTTTTTGAAAATCAAACCTCTTGACGAGCTGATTCAACAGAATGTCATCATCGCACTGCGCCATTAGATCAAGGCACGCTCTTTCGTCATCTTTTTTAGATCGTTTCACGGGACTCGTTTGAATTGAAGAGTCTATCGAGAGTCTCTTGGAAACTCTTGAGCCTCTCATTTTACAATCATACGATGATGAATCTAAGTCATTGCTCTCTTTTTTCTCAAGTTCTTCAAACGAATCGTCGATGGACTTGGTTCTTTCAGGTCGTTTCTTTTCCATTGGCGTACTTGAGGATACACAATTTTTAATCCTTATCTTCTTTTCTGGTGATTTTATCCTCAGCTTTTCCTCGTATCTGTAACAACCATTTTGATTTTTAATCAACAAATAGATAAACGTTTGATACTTCTACATATTCAAGTTTTGTTGTTGTTTTTTTTATTAATTAATTAATTTATTTTAGCTAAAAAAAAGTCTACCTTGACAAAGCTCTTTTGACGCTATCGACTTTTGGACTGACAATTGGCAACCTGTTGATCTCACGCTCGGTTAATTGAGCTAATTCACCAACCGTGCGAATGCACTTCATCAAAAAGTGCTTTGCCAAGTCGTCCACAAACATAGGATCCACCAACTCAGCACTAATTGTGTCAACTGCATCGTTGCAAGAGGTCAGGGAAGGGCAGACTGGCAGCATCGAGTCCAGTGCCTCGGGTTGGTTCAATTGCGCAACGCTTGATTATGAATTAAAAAAACATTTTACTGCTGAATATTTGTACGGCTATTGATCTTATAAAACCGCAAAACTGCCACATGTACTATACCTTATGAATAAGTTTATGACTTTTTTTTTCTCTCACCTGTTTTGGGACTCGTGCAAAAGCGCTGGATCCGAGAATACTGAATCAGAGACTGACGACGGATCGGCTGGTTGATCTTTTTTTTGGAAGCTAGCCAATATTTTTTTATTCGCCGTTACTGCATACGACCAATTAAGACTAGTAGACAAATTATTGATATCTATGGTATCTTCCAAAGAAACGCTGCGATCGGTAGATTTTCGAGAAATACTGGAAATGCTTATCGAATCCGGCTTAACGGGAGAGTAGTTTAGCTCAGTTTGAGTGGAAGTTTTGGTCATGGCCATAGCCTTGATTTCTGATGCTGCTGAGGCCAAAAGCAGCTCCTCCTCAAGCCTATTTTGCTTTTTACTGACTTGATCTTCCATCAAAATATCATCATTCTCATGGCTTTCAAGCATAGTTAGTAACTTTATCTTTGGACTAGGCGGTTGGTTCAAATTACTATTGGATTCGTTCATTTCTCGCTCCATCCGTCGCCTCAACCTCCTTGTTCCAATAGGACTGCGAACTGTGGGCAATTTTTCGAGCCTTGGAGGAGACGACGTGTCTGTCATTATTTCATAGCCCATTTGGCGCGACACTGGCGGGTCAGCGAAACTTACACGTTTTTTCTGGAATTCAAAAACACAATGTTATACATTAAACGAAAAGTTGTGACAAATCAATTGACTTTACCTTACTGCCAGGTGTTTCGAGTTCGCATTCTTGCATTCTTTTCAGTATACTGGCACTTGGCGAGGCGGTGAGCGACGGTGGATTGGCATTGGACCACTCCAGGATGGGCAGCTCCTTTTTCTTGGGAGAATCTTCCGAAGAGTCAGATGTATCGTTTTGTGAAAATAGTTCTTTCTGTGTGTTGATAATGTCATTGTCCCCAGCCTGCAGATGCTTCTCTAGTTTCGGAGATATGCGTTCGCCGTCATTCTTCAAGTTGCAAAACATGGCCATCGAAGGCGAGGAAGACCTTTCAGGAGCTTTTAGATTATTAAAATTGTTCATGTTGCTGAACATTTTGGACTGTCGACTGTTGAGCGGGCTTGAAACTCGCTCGGTCTCTTTCGCGATGGATTTGTCTTTTTTCAACGGGACTATCGTTACCTCGTCTGTGAGATTAAAATCGGATTTCGTAGTTTCAGGGGAGCCCACTTTGTCACCCACCGATTGCTTCGTGACAAGATCAACCATCCAAGCGGCACGTCCACCAAAGGCGAAATTTTTTTTGAAAATTCGCGAAGTCGAACCTTTCGGTGATGACGTGGGGTTCGTCGCAGTAGCTGGTTTTCCAATATTATTTTCAACTGTTTTTGCTTCCAGCTCCACTATCGCAGTAGTTTTCTTAGCATCGACTGTGACTGGGAAAACTGATACCGTATTATCTTCTGAATCTGCTGGAGTTTCATCGATGATTTTTTTATTTATCACCGTCACCGCTTCACTGATCTCTATTTCAGGCACTTTTTCCACAGGAATGGGCTTCTGAAGCATTTCCACTTTCTTTATTTTTATCACACACTCCGATTTACCGAATTTCGGATGAAAACTTGGCTCCTGCGAACTTTCCACGATATCTGGATCTTGAGTCGCTTTCATGTCCATCGAAGCTTTACCGGACACGGTGGATTTGGCAGGAATACTTGGCTCGTTTGTTTCAATTTCTTCTTCAACAGAAACACACTCGATTTCGACAACTTCTTGCGAGTTTGGTACTTGTGTTTCATTCTTCTTTTTAGAGACAGTCTCGATTGTTTCGGGCAAGGACTTACGAGTTCCACGATTGTTTGGGCCTTCCGCACTGTCCGCTTTTCTCTCCTTGTTGTTTGCCGTCGACTCTTTTTGTTTGTTAGCGTCAGATTTCATCAAAATAGGAAGTAACTGCGAATCAAATCCCTTGAGAGAGTGCCTCTTCACCTTGATCTTCTGTTGCTGACTGCTATCCGACTTTGTGGGCGAAGTATCTCTCAGTTTGGAAGGTGTAGCGGCACCCTTACCCTCTTTAAATTTAGAAATCGTAGTAGCAGCATCTTTGTCGTCCTTCGCTTTGATAGGTGTAGCTACTTCTTTAGCTTTGGCTGGCGTGGCAACTTTGTCTTCCTTGTACTTTGCTAAAACTTTGTCCTCCTTAAGCTTCTTATCACCTGTCGCGGTGGTTTCTTTGCCAGCGCTGTAACGCCGATTCGGCAGAGTTTCAAACACCATGTCGATTTGTAGCCTGTTGAGCTCGATCAGGGTTTTTTTCGGCAGATTTTTCTTTTCCTCGCCATCGGATTTGTTGCTGTCCAGGCTATTGCACACCTCCAAAGATTCCGTGATCCTCGGCCTCTTGACGCGCTCGATGCTCAGCGCACCATCCGAGTTGCTGTCCGAGTTCCGCCGCTTTTTGCCCCCAAGGGGATGCAACTGGTCCGAACTGTTGAACTTTTTCAACGATAATCGCTTGAGCTGCCCAGATCGACGTGGATTATGATTTTTCTCTGCCGTACCCACTGAATAAAAAAAAAGTAAAGAAAACTCATCAGTTTTACATTTTGACGGAAAAGATGCACTTTCTAACAAATACAGTAAAATAAATACGATTTGGCATGTTTTTCTCTCATCTCCGGACACTTGAATCAAAAGCACCGTCCCAGCCTGCCCCACCCCCAAATGAATAATTAATTCAACATCTGTTAAATTAAAACACTTTACCGCCCGAGCATGTTGCGCGCTAAAAAAAAAAAAAAAAAAAAAAAAAAAAATACAATTCATTGATAAGGTTATGTTAGACGTCAGAGAAATTACATCCGCAAAAATATACACCCAACAGCATAGAGATCTATGCCCAACATCAGTGATTGTTTGCTGGTACTTGGTCACAGGTAATTCAATCCCTCGAAGTATAGTAACGCGTCGACACTCGACACACCAATTATGTACCCAATTGATAAACACACAGCGGAGAGAGAGAGAGAGAGCACCCGGGGGAGAGGAGGGGGCACAGCACTTGTTCCGACACTTGTGATCGTATCACGCGGCACTCGAGAGGGAAAACCCGCTCTTACATAAATGCAGTCGTGGAAAGGCTGAGAATGAAAATTGTGTCACCTGGTGTACCAGCTGCGGCGGACTCCTCGGCGGTGTTCTTCCGGCGCATCTTGACCCCTTCGATGATCGAAGGTGAGATTTTCTGAAGCTGTTGCTGCTCCTCCTCCACACGCGCAGCGACAGAAATAGCCTCGTCAGGTGTTTCGGGGGTGACGTTGGACAACGAAGTCAAGGCGGTGGCCTCGGGACTGTTGGTTGTCCTTTGCCTCTGGGGCGATTCCTTGGCGACCGTCGCCGACGACGATTCCCCCGCATCCTTCGATGTTGCAGCCTCCGAACCAGACGTGCAGCTCACCCTGTGCAATACAATTCTCAGCTGTTTTCTTGACTGCGAGTTGATCTCGTGATTCATCTCTCGGCGGCGGTAAAATCAAGACTATACCGCGACGCGTGCCACCGAGTATTTTAAATACACCTCGGGATGCAACCGATGATGAATATTCATTCTTTTCGTCGGATAGGTAGCAAGGTGGGTATTAAATATATCCGGGTTTTCGAGTGCCTCTTTCAAATCACGGGAATTTCTGAGAACAACGCGCTGCTACCAGAAATGACACAACTCACTCGGACCTTTCGTGTTCATCAGACTATACGTGTACTACACTATGAGTACTAGATAGATGCGGTTTTGTTTAGCGGTACTTTTTATATATTTCTGAAAGAAAGAGAGAGGGGGAGGGGGTAGAGAAAGAGAGAGATAATTTTGTGACACGATTTAAAAATTAAATGTACTTGAGTAAGTATATAATATAATATGTGTGTATATTTTTTCGACCAAGAGGTAAAATGGTTAAGTGTTACAGGTGCGCGCACGGGCCACGGAGTGTACAAATGGAATTTCTGTACTTTTGAATGATGATACACGTTGATCGTTTTGATCCAAACTGAATAGAAAATAATAACAGATCTGTTCAAGTAAGGTGTTTCCAAATGACTCTGGGATTTCTCGAAATACATTGACACATCTACTGACAGGCAGAGCTACTGATGGGTCAGCAGAGTGTTGTGTTGCAATCAGAAGCGAGAAGTAGCACTATGGCAACTTGCTTGGGTATGCACATTGCACGCGTAAATTTGTACGTGTATATTTATGTGTATGGGTAATTTATAGACTGGTGCAAAAGGTGTTTACTAGTTTACCGATCGACATAAATTTTTTGTAAAAAAAATAAAAAAGATTAAAAAAAAAAAAGATTATCAAAGTAATGGGATATTGAATATACTCACGCAACAGTTTTTTCCCCAACTTTTTCTTGATCGTGAGGCAGAGCCTGTGTTATATTTCTGAACGTTGATGGCAATCCAGCTTCCACAGCCTCCGTGTTGTTGTTCGTGGCTTCTTTTTTCTGGTTGGCCGTCGATTTCGCCTTTGCGTCGAACCACTCTTGGAGCTGTTGCGAGTCTTGCGAATTAGAAACTGTGAGTTCGTTGTACATTGCCGGTATGTCGTCCTTGCGCTTTTTCAGCTTTTCCTTTTGGTGCTCTGTTAAACGGCCTACGTCCAGCTTTACTTCTGAATTAATCACTACGAAATCCTAGAAGAAAAAAAGAGACATGAAAATTTTATGAAACCATTATCGCAAAACAATTTCATGAGTCACGTCTACCAAAGAATTCTCACCTGAGAATCCGGTTCAATGTTCATAACTTTGGGTTTGACAAAATTTTCTTTCCCCGGCGTTCTGGTGGATGGACTTGCCATTTTTCTGCCAAGAAAACTACCGACCACTGCAGTTTTCTTTTTAGATGTGGCAGCATCGCTTATCTGAACTTTACTGACACTCATTATTTGACTTAGCTCTTTGGCGAGCTCCTCAAAGAAGTTTCTCGTTTTTTCGTCTACGCTACAATTTATGTCAGCAATGGGAAAAGTCGCTGCAGCTGTAGTTGGATTCCAAGCTGCCATAATAATTGTCTGTCGGTAGCAGCTCAATAATTCGTCGTTCAAGGATTTTTGAAGACGCGTGAAGAGCCCAACAATGTCTGTCCAAGTTTTTAATATTTCACTACCGAAACTGACGTGGTCGATTTTCGAGATCATTAATTTCACGGCTGGCTCAACGGTTTTCAAGTAAAGAGCCGTCTTTTCTATACTGTGGCTGAAGACGCGCAACAAGAAAGACGCAAGGGCTTTCAATACTTGATCAGAAGCAAAGCTTTCGGAGCGAAGGCATTCTATCGTCAAGTTCTTTAGTAAATTCACAAATTCAGGCACTTCTTTTTCTAATTCAGTAAAAACAATATTGTTTATTAATAACTTCAATGAGCCACAAACATTTAAATTTGGTTAAAAATGTTAACATACCGCTTGACGAAAGATGGTCATAATTTACTACGGCGAGTAGCGCATCAATGCAAACGGCCGCAAAGTCGCAACATTGGCTATTTTTTTGCATCGAAGAAATTATCATTTTTGACGTTTTTTCCAAGACAACGTTTGGTTTTACAACTACAACTAATTCGGCTTGGTAATCGAATACTTTGAAGAAGCTGCACCACGCCTCAGCCACTTTTTTCATCTAAAATTGAATTTCAAGATGATTTATACGAGAAATAGTTAGTAGTGTAACGATAAATAAACACGTCACTTACCAAAGATATGTCGTTTGGAACACAACTAATGAAAGGAAAAGCTGTGATGCTTTCAATTGTTTTGAAATTATATTCTATCGAGGTGCCTTCATTAATGGGCTGTGCATCTTCAATATACTTTTGTGCTATTCTAGCGAGGATGCACCAAATGTCGTATACAACGTGGTTTTTTTTTGCTTCACTAATGGATTTAAGTACTGCTTGCATCAATTCCAATGTTTCCGGATAGTACGCGTTTGCACTTGAAGGTTTCACCACACGATTGAGTAACAATTCAAAAGACATGCAATGATCCCTGAAAAAGTAAAGTTAATTTGTTTTTCTGCCAATAATTGTAAAAAGTAGTAAGCTCGATTAAATTTTACTTTGTGAAGCGTGAAAAATCATCAATTTTCAGAAATGTGTTTATGAGCTCGAGCCATGCACTTTCTGTGAATTGCCCATTCTTTAAAATTTTATGAAAATCTTTCAAAATAGTATCCATCAAGAAATCACTTATCAAAGGTATTTTGATAAACTGATGTTTAATCAATTCACTAACAACACTGGAAATCTCTTGGTACATTGGAACCTAAAATTTTTTTTGAAATATTACAAACTTGAAAATGAAAGCATTAAAAATATGAAAATGGTAAATGTCATCAATCATTGATGTGAACTCGTCTCTGTATTACCTTCATTTTATCATATCCTTCAATACGCGCCAACAAGTTTTCCCACATAATTGTAACCATAAGTGGCTTGTTTGTAATAACATCATTTGGCGAAAGTCCCAATAGAACGATACTCTCACCAAAGCAGTAAATAAGTATTTTGTAAATTTTCTCAAAAACAGCGTTATTAACGGTATTGGGCAAATTTTCATTAACAATGGAAGCTGGAATTTTTGACAAATCATTGTTTACAATCAACTGAGCAAGGGCTTCAATTGCAAAAATTTGTGTCTTAACAAATTTTTTTCCTAAAGCTGCACTACTATCGTTTACTTGTACGAAAAGAGGCTTATCACCAAAAGGTCCAAAACATATAGTTAAAAAAGGCACTAAAACTGTATCCGTAAATTCAGATAAACTAGAACATATTTTAATCAGCAAGTGCCACCACACTTCCATTTTAGTGAGCACCATTACTTCAGTTCTGCTATTTTTTGCGTTTAGTGGGACACACAGAAGCTTTATGCGACGCACCGTTGCTAATTCGCGTGGCTCCAAAGCAAAATTATCTATTAAACATTTCCAACTCAAGAAAGCTTGCCTAAAAATTATTGTTGTCAAAAATTATTACTTATTCGATGTTTATGCAAAAAAAATTATTGAAACCCAAGCAAAAGTTATCTCAACTCAATTAATTAAAAAAAAAAATTTTTTTTAATAATAAAAAATGATAAGGTCCAGATTTAGGAGAATAATAATATTTATCTTTATAATGGATATTAATAGTTATTTTTTTTTTTCAAAATTTTTTTAGAATAATTAATAATAAAGAATATAATATGTTAATAAACGACAAGTTTCAGTTGGCTAAATTATATTAGTTATTATCAGTTTTTATTTTTTTCCTTTCAATAAGTCACTCATGAAGTAGTTAGAAAAAAATAATAATCAATAATAACTAATATTGACAGTTATTCAATTCTCTTCTCAGTCTGAAATCTGAACTTCATTGTTTCTTATTGTCGATTTTTACCACTAACCATTAATTGTTAACTAATTTAATTTTTGCTTGGGAAAAGTGATGGTTTTGTTACTTACTTTCTATTGATATCACCAGATTTGAAAGCAAGTTCTTCAACTTTCAACAAACTATTAACAAGAGTGGAGCCTTTGTGAAGATCAGTACCGACTAGAGCAATACTGGTCTCCCATTGCTGGGCCCACTCCAAGCAACATTCGTTTACCAACAACGTCATACGCTTGCAGTACACGTTTTGCAAAGATTGCTTGAACTTATCCCAAATTTCTTTTTGGAACGACCGGACTCTCGTACCAAGGTCGTTTTTGGTTGCTAGCTGCAGTACCTTAAGGGCTTGAGATCTTTGCCGCTCGTTGCCCATAAAAGCCAAAAGTACAACCTTGTCCATGATAAACGTATCAAATTGCTTGATAGATAGTCCACAAGAAGACAAATCACACATTCTGCACAACAGTTCTAAGCTTCTGTCTACAACTCGTTCTTCAAACTCTTCGTTTTCATCGAGAACTCTGTCTGCTGTATTTATCACAAATGAATTATCAGCATTTTCCGGTAGCAGCCAAGTCATGCTCTTTGGTTGAATTGACTCCAAACAGTCATAAAGAAAATCAATTGCTGATTTCGTGACAATTGTTGCCACTGTTTCATCTTTAAGAATGCTCAAAGATTCGAGTATTTTAAGTCTGAAAATTCATCATGAAATTTTAATAATACAAATCTCGTACAATGAACACTGAATCTCGCCCAAGGATTAAAACTAACCTTTTTTTTCGATTGATTTGTAAAACTGTCTTGAAAAAATCAAAGTTTTTGTCTCTGGATTCAGGTAAGATTATATCAAGGGTACGCTGTGCCTCCAACAGCAATCTATCATCCAAAGTATTCTCCGTTAGGTTTCCCAGTATTACAGAGCAAAGCTCACAAAAGTCTTTATTACTGATGGTTTTTATCATTTTTTGTTCATTCAAATGTAATCTGTAATGTACAATAATACACAACAATGTGTTTTAAAGGGTAAAGCAAGTATTTGTACTTTGTACAATCAGTTTACACACACACACACACACACACATATATATACGTGAACTTGAATATTTACTATATAAGTTCACGTATGTGATTAAATTGCACATAGGTTGAAACTTTGCTAAAAATTTCTTCATAACGAAAACAATATAGAACCGAATTATCCTTGGAGATACTTTTTTCTTTCTATATTATGACTTTCAAAACCAAAACAATAAATTTCCAAGAAACCCGGCCCTTTGTAAATATCACAGCAATCCGATGTTGAAAATTAAAAGTAATTACAACTTAATAAAAAGTACAAGAACTTTATTGATATTTACTACACAAGAGTATTAGAAAACTGCAAACTTACCGTCGAAGGGAGGTTAAAGCTTGAGCCTTGTCGGAGTCCAGGGAGCTGGCCTCCTTAAGCATTTTGAGGGTCATTTGGACGGTGCCCACCGCACTTGTCATTGTTAATTGCCAATTATGTACTCTTACGTATAATTATGTAATACATACGATGATGGTCTTGAAACTTAAAAAATAAGGACGCTATAGAAAACTAAAAAATATTCACTGAATACGTATCGTAATTCAACACACGCGCATTCCCTTACACTATACACATTGTCTGGCAAGAATGGCAAGGCGTATGATGAGAACGCGCGGGAAACTATAGGAAGATATATATAGTAAGTTGTAAGTAGGAAAGTGAGACTGAGACAGACCATGGATATTCGGAATGTTCGGATCATCCGAGCCAAGTCAGGCCAAGTTGCACCCTGATCCTGATCAACGAGCCATGCCAATGCCATGCGCCATTCGACTGTCAAACTTGGACCAATATTGGTTGCCTGTATAAGCCTCAGCGAATAAAATCGGCAAATTCATTTCTTTTCCAAGCGGGCAACAAATAACACGTATAAATGAGGGCACGATAACATGGAGTACATCTATATACGGAACTCTATTGAAGAGATTAAGTTTAAGTGTAGGAAAAAAATTGTTCCGAATGGTGTACTCTACTTAACTAACAGGCGTATATATATGTACACTCAGTGGAACTCTGATCTGTGCCGGACCCTATTATTGAACAGTGCTTCACGCCATGATTCCGAAATAGGGTCCGAGACAGATCAGAGTTCAACTGAGTGTACACTCAGGGTGTCTGTAATGTCTGTATACATGGGCGTCTTAATGTCTTAAGACTGTAAGGGTGCCTGTACATGGGCGTCTTACAGTCTTAGGGTGAGATTACATGGAGTCTGGCAGTCTGCAGACTGGCAGAATCGTGCTAAGTTTAAATTATGTTTAAATTATAACATCTCAGAATAATTCAGTAAAATAAAGAAAAAATTGTAATTATTGTCATAACAGAATAAAGGCTTAGTTACAATCAATTTCATTAACAATAAAACGTGTCAAATATTATTTTATAACTTTTTTTATAGATTTATGTTAACATCGTACAGTCAGTCAGTAGGGTCACTGATGTAACCTGGTATGTATAACAATATGTAACTGTGACAAAACGTTTTTCGTCGCCTTTTTTTTTCGTAAATATTAGTTAATACAGAAATGCAAATGTATTACGATAATTATTTCTTTGCTTACGTAACAGGTTTTAAATATTAATATTGAAACATATTTTAAACTTAGCGCGATTCTGCCAGTCTGCAGACTGCCAGACTCCATGTGATCTCACCCTTAAGCCTGTAAGCCACACCTATGGCGGTTGATTTAATTCAAACTGATGTTAACTGATTACCGATATAAAATGATTTAAACAAGGAAATAGACACTTTATTCATGATAAAACTATGTAACGTGATTACATTATAAGGTTAGAACGTCTTTAAGGCATCCAATGAAAAATTTCTACAATTCATGTTAATACAATAATTTTGTCAACATAACCTCTCTATTTAACGACTCAGCGTTAACAAAATTTTTTTTAGTTTTGGTGGCTAAATATCTTTCCAATATTATAATGAAATCACGTAACATAGTTTGGTTATGAACAGGATGCCTATTATCTTGTTTAAAACAATTTATATCAATATTCAGTTAACGTCAGTTTAAATTGAATCACCCGCCATATGTTTGGCTTACAGTCTTAAGACATTAAAGCCCGCCCATGTACAGGCACCCTCACCGTACCTTGATTCACAAACCGCGAAGTTTGAAGTCTTAAATTTTTTTTTGACAAATAAACATAAAATATGATTTTAACATTGTCCAATAGTTGTTAATATGATAGTTGTATATCGTTCTATTTTTATTTTATGGTTATGGTTGTTCCTCGTGTTTTAATACGATAAATTACTTTAAGAATTCAAACCCCAGCAGAAATTTGAAAACGTAACAAAATGTTAGAAAAAGTGAACATGTGTAATAATATGCCGTAGCCCGCAAGAAAATGTAAGAAAATGTAAGGAACTGTAATAGTCTCATTGATTTCGGACGTTTTTTACACTTTATTATGTTGTGTTACGTTCTTTTACATTCTCTTACGTTTTAATATGATTTACCACATGATGTTACACTTATACTTTTTCATAACAGTTACTCAAGTTTTTTTCATTTAATGCAAATTTTATTCGAAAATGTAAGGAAATGTGTCTAAAAGTTATCAATGATAATAAAACATAAAAAAGTGTAATAAACTGCAAAAAACTGTAGGCTGTTATGAAATATTACAGATGACAACACTTCCTATCTAGTTTATTCGAGTTTACTACAGTTGCTTTTTCACGAGATTCAAGTGTCTTTTTAGAATTATAATACAATATAACTAGTCGTAAGATATAATGTGTTGGATTATAGTAGACTATAATTAAACGTAACAAAACGTAACAAACTGTAACTGTGGTCCGAAATCCAACCAAACTGTACATTACATCACAAAGAAAGTTACGGTTTGCTACGTCGTTTTTTCACACTAACTTTTTCCGTTGGGGAACTTCGCGGTTTGTGAATCAAGGTACGGAGAGTGTACCCGAGCAATTTTTCATTCGGAACGTTACGGATGAAAAAAAACGTGGCACGCCAGAGGATACGTTCCGTAAGCACTGGTGGCGTCTTGTGTGCACCTGTTGAATTCGTATGTGAATTTGTCCACTGCTATGTCGAGTTCCGTTTGAGACCTGATGGGACGACATTTAAATGAGAAGGATTCGAGGTTATACGTGAGGTGAACCCAGTCTATGCGGCTGGTGGTAACGGGTATGGTGAGTAGGAATCTAAGGATTTCTAGGTATACTGGGTTATGGTTGCAAGGGAGGTCTGGTGATGTTCGTGGTTCCGTAAGGATGGTCAAGTTTTTTGTCAGGAATATGTCTAAGATGTCTGGATCTTGGTCTGGTGAGCTAGGATAGTGAGTCGGTTCACTCGGAACCTCAATGCTGATGTTGAGGTTGCGCAAGTGTTTGAGGAGGGCGTTTAAGTCGCCAGCCCAATGTTGTAGGAGGAATCTTCGCGTCAAACAGCGAGGTTATGCATTGGAGGTTTGGATCATCCGTTGGAGGAGAATAGAGAAAGATGATTTTGATGGAGGTAGATAAAGTGGTGTGTACTTCGACTCCAACTGCTTCGTATTCCAGTTGGGCTGCGCAAAGTCTCTGTCTAGCGTGCTGCTGTTCTGTTGCCCTCGAGACCAGAAACTCTTTGGTCGAGGCGAGTCAGCAGGGTCATTATTGAGTGGAGGATTGTCTTAATGGGGGGAAGTGTGTTGAACAGAGGAGTCAGAGGTTGAACTCCTGTTTGGTGGTTTTTGGAGGATGCAACATTTGCGTATGATATCCCTTGGCAAATGGTATTCGAGCCTTGGGTTGTTGTCCGAAGGATGGATTTCACAAAAAGGGGAGAAGGGGGCAGTCCCTATCTTGGGAGCGTGAGTTCCTTTTTGGGGGATTTTTGGACATTCTCGGTAAAATGCGCGGTGCTCGCTATTGCAGTTTGCACAGAGAGGGCTGACTTGGTCTTTGTCATTTTTAGACAGGTTGCGGTTGCGTGGTTTGAGCTACAGAAACCACAAACAAAGGCAGCACTGCAGTAGGCTACCGTGTGATTGAATTTTTGGCAACGGCGACATTGGGGAATGTCGCTCGATTTCCACTTTTGAAGTACACAGATAAATAAGATCAAGAATTAACGTTTATGTATTTATTCATTATGTATATAAAAGCTGAACGTCGACACCTACCTCTTCGTTACGCGTCATAAAGCCAACTAACTAACGATGCTCACGCCGGATACACAATCACCACCTTGCCCTTCTTCTCTCTCTCTCATCGCCACCTATCATTACAGCCTCCTAACTTGTCGACGCCAGACCTTTTACGCATGAACACATGTGTGTATGTGTATACATTCCGTGTTGCCTATAATGCGAATTATCGAATGCGACCAGTGGACCGTGACCCTCTACAGTCTCAATTCTAGATTTACATACGCGTAGCATTGAGGCAGAACACCTGTCGCCTGAACGGCTTAAGTCGTCGTTGACGTCTCTACCCATACGTTTGATCCTCATTAACTACATCACTTTGGGCACGGGATCGCATAATTTCAAACTTTGGTGGCCCTACATGGGAGACCTGCAAATACCGGCCTCCCATGCACAGGCACCCCTGCGCTGCCCTGATAATCGGCCCTCCGCCCCCACACCCAGATATAAGTTCAAGTAGTTTTCTTTGGCTCTTCACTGGTCTCCAGTCGACTGTCCGTGCACAGAGTAATACAAGCTTATGTTACACGAACAGATCTCTTGTTCGTAACAGTGACTAATTACCAGGTTCGGTCACCTTTGGTCATGCGATAGTCAGGACGGGCAGAGGGTACTTTTTCCTGGATCATGTCCAGTATTTTAGCTTCTGTGTAGCCAATGTTAACGCCATGGATGAAGACTATCATTTCACGGCCCTCGTGAAGCTGATGGGTTTTAAACTCAACCTTTTTCTCATCAAGGTCGAGGATGAGTCGTCAAAAACTGTCGACGTTGTCGGGATACACGCGTGTACCTTCGGAGGTCGTAATGACGCGGTGGACAGGGATATTCTCCGCGATGAGGGCTTTGTTAATCTTGGGCCATAATTTCTGGTCCAAAATTGTGATCGGTGGGGATGCCTTCTATTTGGGCACACTACTAGCTTCCTCCGTATCATGTTGAGCTTGGTCCTTAAGATGACCGTTGAAAGCGTTTTTTCCTGCCTCGGAAGAGCTGAGTGGTGACACTTGGATTGAGGATTTTTCTATTTCCATGTCAGAGAAGTTGGCTGCAGAATTTTTTGTGTCTTTGCTCATCTTCCACAGTGGAAGAATTTTTGAGGTTCAGGGGGTCACCATATCCTGGTGACGGATTTATAAGGCCCAGGCCTTTTACAAGCGGAATTTTCGCTGTGAGTGGGGACTTTGCAGAGAGTGCTGCAATGGTCGCGTCCTTCTCCGCGTTGGAGCGCTTTAGCGAGTTAAGTAGCTGGATGGAATTTTCCAGCTGAACAGAGTACTCACTTACCATATTTTCCAGGTACTCGATACTTTTTTTCTAGCTAGCGAGTTCTCTGGTAATTTCGGGTGGCATCGTTGCTGAGAGCGGGCTGCATTCCCGCTGGAAGTGGCATCG